TGAACCTGCCCGCCTCCGCAGCGACTGCTGGCGGCGCGACGTCGCGCCCCTCCTGCCGTGCGCGCCACGCCAGCGCAGCCGTCCGCGTCCGTTCGTTGCGCGTTGGCAGCCGGAGCGCGTGGAACTCGTGCAGGAGCGGGTGGCTCAGCAGGCTTTTGGACTGCGCCCGCGCCATGCATGCGCGTGCAAGGAACCGCGCAGGTGACAACAACGCTTTGAGTGGTGGCGCGCCAGTGGCATCCATATCGGGCGATGCGGGGCGTGGCATGAACGGGAGCGTGAGCGTGTAGAAGCTGATCGCGATGTAGACCTCGTCTGCGCCGCCGGCGTCGTACCAGCCGCGGTCGAGGTACGGACGGTAGTTCACCGGTCCTGTGTAATGCATCGGCTGCTGCGCGCGGTACTCCCACTCTGCGTCGCTGATCTTGCCCTGCCGGCGCAGGCGGTGTAGCACGCGCGCGAAAGCGAGCTGGCTCAGCACCGGGAGCGCGTTGCCGACGGTGATGCCCAACGCGCGACAGGTCTGCGCGATCTGCTGGGATTCGGAGATTGTGAAGCGGATGTTGATGATACGCGAGAGAGGCGTGGTGCTTGTAATTTCACGACGAGTGGGGAGGGTGTGACCACCCTGCAGACAGATGTTACTGTGCAGACAGACGCGTAGTGGAAATGGCGTACGGTCATTTTGTTTGCATTAAGTTCCTGGATAACTTTGGCTATCACAAGACGCCATCGCCTGCGAGCTGGACTGAGCTTCGCGCTAGGAGTGTAGGCTTCCGTTGGTAACACAGTCTGAAGCCGAGCTGCCAGAGGTGTGATATCGATCTTCGCCTCTTTGGACAGGCTAGACAGCTCCTGGCACAGTTCCCGCACGATTGTAGCATTTCCCATTGCGTCTGTGATATGGTGTACGACAGGAATGAATATATGCCAATGACATGGCACATCCTTCCGCGAGCCAAACCAGACCCTTGCGAGGAACTCGTTGTCGAGCACCGTTGGTCCGTTGTGCAGCTTCTCCCTGAACTGCGCAACCTCATCGGCATTATGCAAGTCGTCGAGGTAGTTCAGCTCTCCAGGACGTAGGATATGAAGCGCACTCTCTCGTAGCACAAACTCGACCTTCTCAGTGCCTGGCAGCTCCTCAACGGACGCTCCAAGGAGCGGAAAGCGCTGCTTCATGCGGAGCCATGCCCGCTCGACATTCCCTCTCGCGAACAGCTCGCCCTCGCACCCTGCCACTGCCTCGAGCTCCATATGTGTGCAGGTGACCGCAACGCCATTGTATACCGCGTCCCAGTAGAAGCCGAGCTCAAGATGGCCGAGCGGTCGTCGGAAGACGGGGTCTGTCGCATCTGTGGAGACTTGTCGCCAGCCGGAATGGCCGAAGAGGTCCATGGGATGCGAGTGGGAGGGGTGAGAAGGGTGAGAGGTGGATTACATGGTGCCCCTGGCTCGTTCGTGCTCGCCGGGCATACCATTCGCCCTCATGCCGTGCCCGAAACTCCGCAAGCCGGGAAGGCGCATGATCATGCTTGAGAACAGGACACAAGTGCGCATTGCGTTCTGGAGTGCGCTGTATTGAGAAGGTTCGGTATTCATCCGTAGGCGAGAGAGGATGCTGAGTGCACAGCGTGACCAGCGAGACTGGATGTTCCCACGGCCTCCCGATTTCACGTGCCTGGATATCCCAGCCGTTGAGCACACCATCTCGCACGTCGAGGAGCTCTATCAATAACCGGCTCCATAACTTGTCTATCCTATACATCGTGTTGTTACAATAACATACACGCATGTTGCTGGTTACGTGGGCAAGTGGTTCATAGCCGTAAAATATTATGGATGCACAAGGATATTGAAGATAGAACGAGTGTCGGAAAGGGAGACGTCGAGGGGTGCATTCTAGAAGTCGTCAAAATCTTCTGTCCAGCCGCCCTTATCTCTAACTGTCGCTGTCTCCATCCCGACTTTGCCTTTGCCGCGCGCCTTTCGCCCGCCAAGCTCCTTGTACATCTCGCGCAACTCCACCTTGCTGGGCTTGAGCTGGCTATCGATTTCCTGCTCCCACTTCTCCTCTCGGAGATCCCGTGGGGTCTGGTAGCCGGAGGAGATGGGAGTGAGCGGGCGCGAGTAGGAGATAGGCGATCGCTCGCGCTCAGCGATGATTTTCAGATAAGTTACCCGCCAGTTTTGCTTGGACTCGCGCTTTGTCCATTTGCCGGGTGGAAGCGTGTCGTCGTGGAAACTGTCTTTCCGATAGTGCAAGAACCAAACTACGAATCTCAGTCAGCACGACGAACGTGCGCAAAATTTGTAAGGTACACACCATAATTCAGTGTCTGACTCTTCGACCACTTCCTCGAAACCCTCGCACATCGTGAGAGATCCCTGATAGAGAGCATGTTGAAGATTCGTTGGGAAATCTCTGTTGGGAATGCTTTTAGGATATCTGATGACGGTCGGCCAGGGGAGGTCATTTGCAGCAAAGACCGCACAGCCCTCCTGGGCGAAGTCGCTCTTGAGGCAGGCCGTGAAGACGGTCGTGAACCTGCTCTCGATCGTGAGGGAGTTCCTGGTAGCGATACCTGTACACCTATTAGTAATCTCGTACGGACCAATCAAGGCCTACTACTTACAACATCGACAAGTTCATCTTCGCTCTGCTCGTCTATGTGTGTAGATGCAAGCGTCTTGTCTAGGTGGTCCAGTGTCTGGGTGCGGAGGACGTCTTGTAATAGACTCATTTTCACTATTCAAGATGTGTAGGAGGGGCAGATGGATGGCGTCTTGAGTCGACGTGGATGAGGCAGTAAAAGAACTCAATCTTCGATTTTTGTAAGACTCCATGTGGGCGCCTAATAAATCTGTACCCGCTTAGCGCTCAACGCCCAGGGGGTGATGTCATTCCGACGGCATCTCCCATGATTGCCTTCCCGTTTTTGGCAAGTCTCGTTTGCTCTCGTCGAATTGTGAAGTCCTCTTGGTGTGTTCTCTACGCTAGTTCTCCCCGCTGTCCTGCATCCAGCTCCGTTTCTTTATAATATCGTATCAAGTAAGAAAATTACATCATGGTCGTTATAGACGACGGCGATTTAAAGATCCAGGGGGTGGATGCGAGTGGTGTCAAAGAAACACCGTCGTCGTTTACGGTGAGGTTTCGTGTACCACCGTCCTGCCCTCCGAGCATCGCACTGATCGACACACAGAGCCAAGATGACCCATTTGCAACCCCGGTGCGGAGCAGCGAGTCTGAAGACACGGTGGTGACAGAAGTCGGCGACGGCTCGCACGTGCTCGATGTTACGACACCGACGCGGGCAGCTGACGACTCCGAGATTTCTGCGTTGTTTATCTTTCCGAGCAGGAGCTATGATGTCCAGGTGAGCTATTCTTCCAGAGTAGTCACATGCGGAGGGCTTACCGTGTGGTAGCAATTTTCCAACATTAAGGACGCTATCCCGGAGTGGGATGACGATGAGGTCGATGTGCGTTGCATATGCCTAGCTGGAGAATGCCATTGATACGAGCTTCTGCAGGAACTTGTCGTGCTTTCGGAGAAGCAGAGATTGCTGCACGATATCGACGAAAAACAGGAGTTCTCGCAGTTCGCATCGGTCAGTTCCTAAGCCGTGCATGCGTACCCAAGTTTTGACGCGCTCTTCAAACCATACAGGGCACCTCAATCAGCAATTTTGCACCTGTTCAATCCCTCAGCTCTGGCAATCTCACCCCCTCGTCATCGTCCAGCAACGTTGCCTTGTTTAAGCATATACCCAGCTCCTCGCTGTATGCAATCAAGACCTTCACCAAATCGTGCATCTCATACGACACTCCTACGCTCGAGCATGCTATGAAAGAACAAATGATTCTTCGACTCCTAACGCAAATGGAAACCCCATTTGTTCTGAAGCTGAGATGGAGCTTCCAGGATATGGAGTCTATGCGCCTTGTCACGGTAAGGGCGGTGTCACATTCACCCGCTGAACATTCTCTAAGAAATTATGTGCGCGTAGGATTTCTGTCCCGGTGGAGATTTACGAGCACGTATCTCCTCGTCAGGTCCTCTGACGTCCTCTTTGGCATGGCTATATGCGGCGGAGCTGGTACGTATCCAGTTGTCACCTTCGTTATTATGCCCACATCGGTATGTTTAACAGGTGGAAGCAATGTCTTCGCTTCATTCGAGCGGTATATGCCACCGCTTGATCCTCCCAGAGCACGTTCTCATCGGTGCGGACGGGCATATAGTCCTGACCGGCTTCTCCCGCGCCTCTATCGCCACGTTCAACTCGCCAAGGACGGAAATCCGTATCGCAATGGAAGATAAAGAACATTTAATCCGTGCCGTGGATGTGTGGTCTGCACCTGAAGTCGTACTTGGCTGGTCTCACGACTTTGCAGTTGACTGTTGGGGATTTGGGGCCATTTTATCTTTTATGTTGGCCGGAGAGGTGAGTACCGGGTCCTACCAACAATGCCGGCAGTAATCTCATTATCATGGGCAGCATCCTCTTTTCCCGTGGCTGGCATCCGACATGAAATATGCCGGTAACGCTCAGCTCGTCGAAAGCACTATTCTACATGCACCCTTACAACTTCGTGGTTGCAAGAGTGATATTGACGCGACGGATCTTATTACGAAGGTGCGCACGAAATTTCATACCGTACACGGCACTGCCTCAACATCGTACAGTGTATGGAACGCAATCCGCGCATACGACTGACGACCGAAGATATCAAGACCCATGAGTACTTCGCTGACATGTGCGTCGCCATGGTCAATGTTTCTTGGCTGCTGACAGCAATATAGAAACTGGCAGAGACTGCGACAAAAAGGCTACCCAGGTTTGAGCACACCTCTACTCCTTACAAGTCTATTATCGTTGACCGTTCGCGTTCTAATCTTTGCCTCGTTTGTAGCGCCGTCTCCACCGCGGAGGGAGGGTCAAGAGGATGATTCCTTCATATTCGATACGCTGGGGATTCAAGAAAGCGAGACGTTGCGTGGTGTACACATTGCTGGCTTCAACTATGTTTTCACGCCGAATCACCGTCCGGGACGCATGGATATCTCTGGTGACGACTCTGGCGACACTAGTGATCAGGAGCAATCGACCCCACTCTCTGCTGATTCGGAGACACTAGAGAATATACCGGCAGCTTTGGCTGGCGAAAGCATTTATGTTACACCAGCTGGCAGCGCTCACTCGACTGTTGCGGGCTCTGGCGCGTCTGCCTCTACTGCACTGTACTCTTGCACTTCCTTTGGCGAACTACGTGAGGCCTTGGAGGCTCGACCCTCTGAGAAATTTCCGCTACCTACCCCTACTTGCGAGGACGACGACTTCCAAAGCAACATTGCCGATCCGGCCGCCGTCGGCGCCTCTCGCGGTCGGATGGCGAGTCGAAGGTCGAGCACTATCACCGAGCTGTCTCATCTGAGGCCGACGAGTATCCTCCTACGGAACAACAGCCGGGCTATGTCCATAGAACCTGAACTTGATCTTGGCGCTCGTGGTCTTGGGCTCAGAAAATATGCTAGCTTAGATTTTGACCTGGACACTGTGGTCTCTCTCGAACCGGACTTGGCGACCTCCAGGGCTCACGCGACTTCCGGAGCCCAGGCAATCGACGCAGACAAACCTGCTCCACCTAGCCGGCGGGTTTCGTTCGCTGACGCGACCGCGAGTCCGGCAGACACAATCGTCCCTCCCGCGTCAACTCTTACTGATGGGACGCCTACCCCCTGGAAGCACCTCAGCAAGTATTATTCCCCGACGCCAAACGTGAATAAGCTCCGCAAGAAGCGTAACGAGAGCATGCCTCTCCTGGAGACGCCGCGCCTGTTGGAGAAGGTTAATCTCCCAGACGGGGTAGAGCAGATCGGACTCGGCATCGGATACACCCGCTCCCGTCCGCCGCGCGCCGGACCGAGTCAGGGCAAGAGCCAGACGCCACGGACGCGCGCAGTCTCTGTCGGGTCGAGCGTCGCGCGATGCGGAGCGCTCCTCTCGCAAATCCGTCGCACGAAGACATCCGGCACGCAAGAGACGAACGACCAGAAGCAGCCGGAGCGAGCGAGCGAGGAGAGCGACGCGATGGAGTCTGTCATGCGCGAGATGTACGGCGCGGCGTGGAACTCGGAGCTTGGCGTCGGGTACCTCGGGGGTGCGACGGACCAGGCTGTGAGCTCGCGACGCAAGGCGGGGAGGGTGTACTCTGTAGACGCCGACTCCGAGGGGCTCATTGGGTCGACGTTGAGGCTTGTGCAGACGCCGAATATGCTGGAGGCCCACGTGCAGTGATGGCTCAGAATTCTTCGTGGTTGCATGTTGGCGTGTTTTGTCAGGGCTTTCGGCTGTGTCTATTTTATTTGTGCGAGATTGTGTATCTGAAATGTCTATGTGACTGCAGTGTGGAGCCTGAGGTTTTGAACTTTGCAAGGCCGAGTGACGACCTAAGTTACCAGCGCGCGATGCCGGAGCGCTTATGATCGGCAAGGGCTTTGTGGCGTTTGATCCGAGTCGGTACGACCGCCTGCCTCATATTCTCTTAGTACGGACGTCTTATTCTTCTGAACTTCACGTACTCATGGGCATATCCTATCATGCTGTATCGAATGACGTTACTGGTATTCAAATCTACAGGAGATGGGTGCCATTTATGCAATGTGAGACTCTAAATTATTCTGCCTGTTTTGCCAAATCAAATTTCTTATGTCTCATCTGTCACGCGCCTTTAGGCCTTTAGGGGTTAGCTCGTACTGCTCCAGCAATGAAACATGATAAAATGAGCCTGTATAGCCCCTAACTATCGTTTTACGACTTTACGGACGTCCACCACGTTTCGTAATTATGCCCCCGTTCGACGTCGCAAGCGTGAGCTGGCGCCAGGTACACGGCTCCGAGGCAGACGAACCGGTCTTCAGGCGGCCGCTGGGTCCGCTAGAGCTCAGCTTCTACTGGGACGCATGCTTCAACGGCGTCGCGGTGCTCATCAACCGACTCGAGCTCGAGGCCACCCAGGGACTCGAAGACGAGCTGCTCGCGGAAGAGAACGTCCGGCGTGCGTGGCTGCGCATGAAGCAGCGGTTCCCGCTCCTAGGAGCGACAGTAGAAGAGCTTCCTGGCTCTGAGAAGGTCGAGTTCATCCTTCGCGAGAGCGCCCTCCACACGCTACGTCCCGGAGAGTTCAACATCCTCGACGATCTCGAAACTCTGGAGGACGCATTACGCTACTCCGAGAAGCTGCAAACGGAAAATACAGTGTTAGATAACAACAATCTTGCGCGTGTATGGATTGCACGGCAGAAAGGCTCGCCTCGTACCCTGCACATCTTCATACCTATCATGCACTTCATCACCGACGGGATTGGGAACGCCGCTGTCGAGCGCGAGCTATGTCAGGAGATCTCAAGGCTTTACAAAGATACGACTGTCAACGTACCTCCGCTGCCCGCTCGTATACAGGCGCTGCTTCCGGTTGAAGCATACAGTCCAGCTATGAAACTGAGCTTACCAAGACGAAGATGGCGCTCAGCAATCGCCAAGGTCATTGACGATATACGCATGAAGAAGCTCTCCGTAAGTTATTCTGGTATCAGCAAAGCTAATCCACCTACTGACTAACAATAAGGGTGGGCAAACGTTACCAATGTTGCCACCTGTTCCCGTCGGCACGCCTCCACGCTCGCGCACAATGGGCTCGCCGCTGTCTGCGGCTTTGTCGAGAAAGATAGCCCAAGGCTGTCATGCACTCCACGTCACACTAAGCAGTGCTCTTCCTGTCCTCAGCGAGATAGCATTTGCGCGTGTACTGCATCGTCTGCGCAGCAAGGGTCAGATCAGCGATGAAGATTGGGAACACAGGCGACGTCAGCCCATGCACTTCGCGGGCCCAATCAACTACCGGCCCTACCTCGACAGAGGGTGGCTGCGCGCAGGAGGCTGGAACGAGATGTGCATCGCCATCAGCTACTACAACTTCGTCCTCCCGTTCATGCCGACGTCATCTGCACTGGACGAAACCGGCGCGCCGTCCTTCTCAGCGCTGCTCTCGCCGGAGCGCTTTTTGGCGCGCGCACGCATTGCAGTTGCCGAGGCCAAGTATCAGCTGACGCACCCGCTCATAGACGAGTTTCATCTGTTGTTGATGCCTAAACGATCCAAGCATCGGCGTGCGACGGCCATGGCATGGCGCGCCCGGCAGGTCGGCAAGCCTCTGCCAGAGGATGCGCCCCGACCGAGCAGCTTCGAAGCGTGGGCGCCGTATGTGGTCGCCAACGGCGGCGCAAGCTTGGGGAACGTACGTGCAGAGACTTGTGTGCCCGATTGACGCGTTTCTGACCTGACAGTCCGCAGCGGGACCTCATCATACCGCACGAATACCCGCTGCCTCCGTCCAAGAACTCTCCGAAGCCTCCCACGCGCATCCACCTCCGGGTGGCCCAGCACGACATGCGCTGCTGCACCGGCGAGCTCTATCTTGGCGCGATTACGACCCGCGGAGTGCTCGCGTTTTTCAGCTGCATTGACGAAAACACGTTCGACACCGAGATGGCCCGTGAGTGGACAGAGGAAGTCAAGAACGCGGCGTTGTACTACCTGGTCGAGACGAACGACGAGCTGGAAGACGTGGAGCCCCCAGCGGCTCGGTTGTAGAGACTATTTTCAGTGGCTAGCGCACCTCCGGGAATATTGAAACCATAGGTTCGTAAGCCACTCGAATACATTGGAGATGCTTGCCTCGCCTATACTGGCGGTTAGGCCCTCGCGTTGTTGAGATGATTGTATCATTCAGCGTGCAGATGAAAGAGAAGAACAAGGAGAGCGTGGTTTTTGATGAAAATGCTTCCGGCTGTGAGCAGGCTTTTTGTATGCCAGCTACCCAAGACATGATGCTGACCACCAACGGCCGAGTGGCGTTGACGGACCGGAACTGGGCCAGGGCGAACTAGTACGCTCCGCAATTACAAGTCACTAGCCAATCAAGAGATTTAAGCTATATTCCACCCCTTGCGCTGAAACGATGCTGAGAGGTATCGATGGGGGACGTGACGGTTTCTTTCAGTGGCTCCGGCTCAAAAGGAAAGTAAGGTCCATTGCACGACGTCCGAGTCGCGAACTACGTACACTTCATCTTTGGATCATTATTCTCGCCGCTCCTTTGCGCCTTGCGTCATCGGAGACAGATGTCCTAACAGAGTCCGAAGGGTTCTGAACACGAACTAGAAGACCTGGACGCACAACCAAGGCTAATGACTGTGAGAACATAGTACAATCCTTAACGGATTACAGATTGTGTTCGCTCGCCAGGACGTCTCGCCCGTTTACGACGTAGAGCATCCATACAGCAGTATGTTTGAAACTCAGTCTCTCTCCACGAATTCTTGAAGCATCGGGATCGATTTGGTTAAGCATAGGGTACAATACACACTGGACTTCGGAGGCTCGCTACTTTCTCGCAATGGACTTGGCCTATGCAACCAAGAACAAGGATGTGGGTGGTTCTCGATCACCTACAGCGCGATGATGGGAGGGAAGCTCATTGAATGGAGCGTCTGTAATGCTATGTACTAGGGGTCCCACTGTGTGCGCCTTGCATATTCACCGTGACACTGCTGGAGAGAATCAGCAAAGAATCCAGAGTATTTCGATGATTGACTATACTTGTCTCACGCATCGCCTAAGAGGGTTCTTTCGCCGTGAGTGTGAATTCCAAGGGGTAATAGACATCTCGCAGAACACAGTGGTGTACGCAGTACTTTATCTCATGCCACTTCTGCTCAGAAGTCGTAGTGTCCTGTCGTCTTCCAAGATATCGAAACGGCTTCAATGATGTAAGCTTCATATTCATTCAACCCACTTCATTTGGTGAGTATACACTTCAGGACACAGAAATTTTTCACAACTGAGGGCGTGCATCATCACTGGGGGAATGCCAGGTCGAACCCGCTCGCTTTGATCTCCGCGAGATATATGGCTGTCTCAGCAAGAATAACCAGCTGTCCCTTGCCCGCAAAAATCAAGTTTGACGACACCGTGCCCAGGAAGAACTTTCCCAGCAGGGTACCGGTCGAGTCCCAGACCTGCACGAGCAGTGATCAGACGCTAACAGCATCACATCAAGCATGATTGGTTGCATACCTGTGCCCCGTCTCCGGTGCCAGAATAGACGTTACCCTGCGTATCCAGCTGTATGCCGTCGGCGATGCCGGTATCGACGTATGCGAACACACGGCGGTTAGCGAACGCCTGAGTTTTCGGGTCCACGTCAAATGCGTAGCTAGTAGCTCTCGAGATTAGAGGAGAGGAAAGTGATGATCGTGGGCAAAGCTAAATCAGCTCACATTGTGGCTGGTTCAGTCTGGTTGTTACCCAGGAATCCTCCTGATGACCCCGTATCTGTACTGAGGGAGGCTCAGTCGACATCTTACAAGAACTACGAGAGCGAGCTTACATGAAAGCTGTCTTGCCATCTTCTGAGAATGCGATGCCATTCGGCTTGTCGAATCCGTCTGCGACAACCTTAACGCGGCGTGTGGTGGGGTCAAGTCGATAGACTTGGCCGGGTATAAGGGGCTCCGGGCGGAATTGGTTGAGGAATCCGTAGCTATCGCGCAATGAATCAGCCAAGTATCCGGACCAATACTGAAAATTGGCACATACATCGTGTCCGTGAAGAAAATCATGCCTGTCTGTCTGTGGATCTTCACGTCGTTCAGCGAGTTAAACTGACGACCGAAGTAGTTGTCCAAGATGACCGTAGCATTGTTGGGAGAGGCGGGATTGACAAGGGCGATGTTCGGCGGAAGCTGGCCTCGTCCACTATTAACCAGGATGAGTTGGCCATGAAATGGTCCCGTGCCGCCGTTCGTCATCTGAATGGGCGATGGCAAGGAAAGCTGGGTAAATCCGTCAGCTTACATGCATAGCACAGGACGCAGGTGCGGACATACGGCAGTCACGGTGACGTTCAATGGACTAGTCTTGCTTCCTGACGCGTTTGCAGCGCGCGCTACTTCACCTAAATTGATCTTCGAAACCCTATTATTGTGGTTTAGGTCGCTGAAACCTAGTAGTCCTCCATCGTTGCTAGCAAAGGTGACCTCGTCCGTCTCAGGCAAAAAGATTGGCGCCTCATGTGCAAATGCGAAGCCTGAGTTTGATGCGATTTGTCGTATCGAAGCCGAAGTGCCCAAGACTTTTGTGACGAAGTCCGGATGAAAGACTTGGAAGAAAGGTGGCGAGGTATTGGTGGGATTGAAGAACTGAGTGAAGGAAGAGTTGCGGAAGGGTCCGCTCTCTCCTAGCACCGCGACAGATACGGGATCGACGAACTAAGCATTGAAGGCATACCCAACATGAGAGAATGGCACGCGCTGGGTAAGAGATGACATACCACCGCCTGGGGCGGGAGGCTCGTCGGTGCATTGGTCTGGGCGGATGCGCCTGGCCCGTACAGGGAGAACCACACAGACGCGACCGCGACGCAGAGTGCGATACCCAGTGACATCGTGGTACCCTGTGTGAGCACGACTGGGTTAACGGTCACAGTGTACTTATACGTTCCGCACGCTTACCGTTATACCTGGCAATATATTCGACGACATCACAGAAGTCGGGGATGCTGGTCGAAGAAGAAGCGCAGAAGATGCAGGAGTGTGTATAAGTAGGCCTGCAGTTGCTCCCGTGATATGGCTTGGGGGAAGAAAAGGAGACTAATCCTGTGTCCGTTCCCAAGGATGATGCAGCGTTCATCAGCGAAGGTAGTCCTTGCATGTCACCTGAACACTTCAAACGGCAAAGGTCTCTAGCATCCGGACCGCAGCCACGGGCACAATTGTGAGCTAATTCCCATCACGCAGCATCGCCCGTGGTTGTCACTCAAGAATCATCTGAGAAAATCAGCTGGACGGAGACGATACATATTGTGTATGTAGAGACGACTTCTCTATACACTTTGAAAATGTGCAAGCAGAAACAGGTGTCGTGGTGATGGCGAGAGTCGAGGTCAACGAATAGCACCGACAGAAGATAACTCCCTAAAATGGATATATCGGCTACAAAATATCAATTTCTCAAACCGCTGCTTCACCCACGCCCTTCCTTCTGCAGCTCATCTGCACGTTCTGCTGGACCAAAAGATGGGCCGAAACAGTATGCATCGAGTCTTCACGGCAGCTGGTCTCTGCTTACAGTCTCGTATGATCCAGAGACGCGGAAACCAGACGTGCCTTTGCGGTCCAGTGCGTAATAGTTTTCGAGCTGCCTTTCAGCCATCGCACGGTGTCTAACACTGCATGTTAGAGCTCAAGAAGGATCCTGGCGTGCCTAAGCTACCTACACTGAAACATAAAAACGCTGAAAAAGTCCGCGCGCATGCCACAGCGGTGGCTAAAGTATGTGCTTTGTGTTCTCGCCTCAGACATTCTCATGTAGATGCTAATAAGCATGGAAAGCTGACAATAACTCCATAGACAGTCGGTCCTCTCACCCAAGATCCCGACGCCACCATGGCTGTAGAGCCTGCCCCATCGTCCCTGGCGGTTTTGGCTGCGTCCGCACAGTCTTCTACCGCTTTCTCTTCGGACCCAAGTTCGTCGACCTCGTTCACGGAGGCCTCTTCTGCCGAAAACCACAAGACTCAGACAAAAGAGCAGCTCAGAAGGCATCATCTTCGTACTCTGCACAAAGTCATAGATGAAAGCGACGTTGTGCTGCTCGTGCTAGACGCTAGGGACCCAGAAGGCTGTAGGAGTAGGCTGGTGGAAGAGGAGGTCCGGAGAAGAGAGTCAGAGGGCAAGCGGTTGGTACTTGTGTTGAACAAGATTGGTACGGTTCTCCCTGGTATAACAAAACCAGACCGTCGAGCTCTCTCTAACCTGCCGTGCGATAGATCTTGTGCCGAAGGAGAGTGCCCAAGCGTGGCTGCGATATCTCCGCCACACGACACCAACACTACCCTTCCGTTCTGTTTCCAACAATCAACGAAACAACCTCTCGTCTACTACTGCACCCGCACTCGCAAAATTGCTCAAGGCGTATCGCCCAGCAGTAGGTGCAGGCGGAGGCAAACAAGTCAAGCAGAGCGTTACCGTCGGAGTTGTAGGATATCCTAACGTAGGGAAGAGCAGTTTGATCAACTCTCTGAAACGAAGCAAGGTATGTTGCTCTGGTGTTCCCGTCTCCATCGCTGACTGTTAAGCCACCGTCAGGTGTGCTCTGTCGCTTCAACACCAGGACACACCCAGACGCTCCAGACAGTCCAACTCGAACGTGGACTGAAGATCGTTGATTCCCCCGGTGTCGTGTTCGACGATGCCGATGATCAAGTGGACAGCGCTGGCCGTCCGCGGCCAAAAGGAACAGGTGTGTTGCTGCGAAACGTCGTCAAGGTCGAAGACATCGAGGACCCTATCGCTCTTGGTGCGTACATATGCTTGAGCCGCCCAACATAAGTGTCTGATGTCTCCAATAGTGGAGGAGATTCTTACCCGAACAGATCACGAGACGCTCATGAAGATTTACAATCTACCACAAATTGGGTCCACCCTCGAGTTCTTGACAATGCTTGCACTCGTCAGCGGAAAGCTGCTTAAGGTGACCATTCAGCCTTTTGTTCGTCAATTCGGTGCTCACTTGTCATACAGGGGGGTACACCAGACGTACTCTCCGCTGCGCGGACAGTCTTAACTGATTGGAACCACCACAAGATTCCCTTCTTCTCCGTGCCGCCGACCATTCACCCGTCTATGCTACCATCAATGACGGCCGGGGGCCAGATCCGATCTGGCGCGGAAGATGTCGGCCAGGCACGAATCGTACAGGAAATGGCTCCCGCGTTTAGTCTGGCTGGTTTCGATTTTGGTGGGGCCGAGGGCACGGATGCGATAGAGGCCGCTGACGAAGACGCCTTTGGAGGCACGTTCGAGGAGAAGATGTATGTTGAAGAGGAGAACCAGGATGATACGGGTGGTATGGAGATGGACGGTGCAGAGTAAGCCTGGTTTCCATCTCGTCGCTCTGCCAAGAAACTCAATGAGATTGGTGCGCAGAAATACCGCGATCTCGACGACCTCCGTCCTCTCACAGAAGCGCGCGCGTTCGCGCTCGGTCTCGCCGACGTCGTCGGCATTTAGCACCACCGCCAACGCGAGCCCTGTACGAGACCTTGACACGCGCGCACGCCAGCCCAAGCGGCTACGTCGGTCGCACGATATCCCGGCGTACGACGCGCCTGTTCGTGCTGACAGGCTCGCCATGACGAACCCGCTGAACAGGAGAACGCTCAAGAAGGCGGCGAAGAAGGCAAAGAGGGCTGACCGGCCCAGAGGCCTTGGCGCTACAGGAGATGGCGGGATGGAGATTGACGACGTAGGGATGGAGGGAACTTTCATGGAAGGGTAGATCAGCATAAGCACTCTTCCCTTGCGCGGGCGGATGTACGTTGCTGCCACATAGAACGCCACGGGCATCACATAGTGTTTATTTGCTTGAAACGTCTGCGTGCGCCACGCGAGTGCTTCGCCGTAGCTCTTGGTGAGTCTACTCCGAGCTCTGGCTGCCATATAGCGGGATGACGGGCCAAGTAACAGTCGCTATCAATGGTTGCTCGCTATACGAAGAGTGCCATTCCCTACTTGATGAAGACGAACCTCGTACAGCACTCGCTTGATAAGCTGACCTCCGGCACGCGCAATTTGGCGTCGGATGGCACAAGCACGGCTTCAACCTGACAATCGAGGGCCTGTACAGGATGCAGGAGTTGTATACGCACGAGAGAGTCGCGAGCGAGTATTCCAGGCTCTGCGGGCTAACACTAGCCGGGCCTCAAAGCGATAGCTGGAGAAGCCGTTGCCAAAGCATGCCCATACACGTCAAAAGGTGTTAATTGCACCGGGCAAGGGATGCGCGCCGGCGGAAACTTCGGATATGGGTGGCGCCGGCGGCAACGAGTCTGTGCCCCTGTCCTTAAATGTTCGGTGGCGTAGGCTGACGTCCGCTCCGCCTAGGCCAGCTCAGCTTCCTGCTCTTTCTCAGCTCGATTCTACAATGGCAACGTCGTATGAGCCACAGCCCCTTCCTAGCGACTTCGTGCACCAGTCACCAACCGTCGTCGGAGCAATGAATAAATGTAGACAAGCGGAAGCAATCATCATGCGCGACCTGGAGAACAACACCGCTAGCGCAGACCTGGTGCTGCAGAAGAAGCTCGTCAACGTGCGGGTTCTAGGACACCTCCTAACCGTTGTGCCCACCAGTGCTGCTCAAGCTTACATCGCCCAGCTGGCCGACTCTTGTCAAGATGAGCAAGCACTTGTCGAACTGGGCGAATTCTACGACAAGTACTTCATCCGCGTTTGTAAGTCTCATCCAACTGCCGTCGCTAT